TCGAGGCCAGGAGACCTGCGTGGGCGGGAGCCCCACCGTGGTGCAGTCCGCGCGTCTCCTCCCTGAACTGTGAGTGAAATGCTTGAGCCGGGGCCTCGCCTTCCGGCGGTTTTAAAACACACGTGCACTCGCTCCGCTGTTTAGGTTGCCTTGCATTACGTACGGATAGATCTGACTGGAATATTTCCGGAGGGAGACACACTGGCAGCTGAGAGGAGGAGAGTTGGTGGTTAGGAAACGCAAAGAGGGAGACTTCTTTGAGTCATCTTTGGATCTTGCATGCTTTGATCCTTAAATGTTACCTAGTAAAAAAATAAAGGCACTCTAAAGCACACACACACCTAACTATGCATCAAATACAATTCGAAATCCGTACATAGGCAGCAGTGCGTTCAATAAAATTAAAAATCTTCTGCATAGGTTGTGTGACCTCTTCAGCCTGGCCTGTCCCGTTTCCTGCCTCTCCCACTCCCCACGCTTCAAGTTTGGCAGCTTCTGAACCTGCACTTAGCTTCCTTCTTGACTTTCTGACTCGTCATTTGCCACAGGCCTTCCTGATCCCACCTGAATTAGTCCCTTGCCCCTTTATTTTTGCCAGCCACCTGTTGCCTTCCTTTTCCACACTTATCAATATATACGTGAATATGTATTCGTGTGTCCATGTTCCTTTCTCTTTCCACTATAATCTGCAAGAGGGCAAGGGTCATGTTCGTTTCTCCCGTGTATTCCAGGAACGTAGTGGACACGTAGTAGATACTTGTTGAGTAAGTGAGAAAATGGATGAATAAGAGGAAAGTAGTGAGGATAGTGACCATTCTTCCCTCAGCGCTCCGTTGCCAGAGTAGAAAGTTGGTTGTGCTCTGGCCAAACTCCTGCTCTGTGAGAATGTCAAGGCAACGTAGAGATAAGTGATTTTAAAACATTACAATCTGTATAATTGGTAGTATTAGCAAGACAAAGAGTACTTCTACAAGTTCTCTTTAGTATTCCTCACTGAGTGGCAATGTAGTGAGATCCTGTATGCAAGTTTTACTACTCCTGTTTGCTCTAGAGATACATTGAATGCAATGACCCAAAATATTATGAAGCAGTCTTTCAGTGCTGAAATAAAGGATGATGTGTTTCGTCTTTATAGTTTTTCCTAGATATTTTTGTAAACTAGAAAAAGAAATGGTGTCAAAACATTTACAAGGAATATGTAAAAAAAGAAATTAACCGAATATATTGATTGGAAGACATATGTTTGATTATATATTCATATCTGAACACTTCCTAATATAGGGAATGTTTTATATCAACACAGATTACTTTTGCATTGGAAAAAGTATAACTTTAATTTCAAAAGTGCTTAGCCAGTCACATGCAATGTTTACCCAAATTAAATGGAATCTGTGACTTGACTTTTAAACTTGTAAGAGATGATACAAGAAGCTGGCTTCTCTTCAAATTAGGTTGGTTCTGTAAACAAGTGTAACTTTTGTTTGTGAAGAAATCACAGGACCTGCTTACCTCATTCCTAAGCAACAACATAATACCACCAGAACAACATAATGAAACACCTTCCACCACTAACTTTTTCAGACTCACAGACCTGGTGTCTTGGTTTTACTTTGTATTCATTTTTTCATATATTTTCAAATCTAAGACATCTCCAATTATATGTACCATCATGCAGTCAAAATAATTGCTACGACAAAGGTGGTATCACATAGTTTTACTTTATATTTGCTAAGAGTTCTTTTATAACAACATATATTAAGAGTAAAATGTCAGTAGAATAAATTGATTAAAGTTTTGTATATCAGGCCTAATTCTTCAGAGCTTAGTTTTTCATGAAGAGCTTTCATATATTTATTTTTCAACACAATATCTGATAATACAGCCTTTCTTCAAAGGATATTGTAGTCTTGTCTGTGGGATTTTCTTCCCAACCACAGACAGTGATTCTGCAGATTTGATGCTGTCACTATCTTATTTGACTAAAACAATTTTTTTGTTCAACTGAATTATATATTGCCACAAGCTATGCAGCTTCTTTACTAATAACCAGAAATCTCTGAAAAATTGTAATTCTATGTCTTACCCCTAAGTCTTACGTGGCACACAAAATAGTTATTTTTTTACTCTGTTGTCTCTCACTGCTTTGGAATTTCTTTTTCCTAACCTAATGTGTCAGTCCCGTTTTCATTTGAATTTCTTAGTAGCCATCTTTGATATATGTACACTGAACTACATAGACTTTAACAGAAGTAATGACAATTTGAACAGTCATTGCCATGATCACAAATTCTGAGGCAGTGCCAGCAGTGTCATTATCACTTTGCCAGTGGGTATTTATCCTAGTTTCAGAGAATTTAAAAGAGGAAGCTAAATGCTTCTTCAAGTTGGAGGAATAGAATATACTGAACTTTGAGGAATAATATATTTCATTGTTATATTTCAATGGATTATTGAATTACATTGAATTATTAGACTATTCAGTAATATAATTCAGGATATTGTGCTATGTTTACCAAGTCACTTATGTCTTAAAGTGCATTTTATTAAGTCTTTATGTCCCATGCACCTGTTATTTATCTAGTTATACTTTCCCTGAATATTCTTTGAAATATTTAAATGTAAAGCGATGGACCAGGCCTTCCTGAAGCTTGTACCTTGGCTTGTTAAACATTCCTCAAACAGTAATGTATTGACCCTCAAACTGAGTAAGATCCATGGATAAACTCCCTATTTTATGAAAACTTTTATGAAGCAGATAAAACTGAGCAAAATATTCCAAGGTGGGAAAGAAGAGGAGGGTAGCCAAGAGAAATGTCCCAGCATGAGCAAAAACAAAGGGAGAAGATTGGAGAACCAACATTTATTTAGTGCTCACTATATGTTAAACATACTTATTCACTACACTATTTGACATCACATGAATCCTGACAAATATAAAATCATCAAGACTCAAAAATTGCTTTTCATACACTTGGCAAAATACTGATTCAGACTCCTAACTTGATTATCATACATACCCCAGAACCTATCACTAAAATATCTAACAAACTGTGTTTACCAGAGCAGAAAGTTTTTTATTTAGAAGACATGGGTGATAAATTTGGTTAGATATTGTCTTAGTTACTTTTCTCATTGCTGGGACAAAATAACCTACACCCACAAGTTAAAGGAGGAAAAGTTTATTTAGCTCACAGTTTGTAGAGGTTTCAGTCATAATCCGCAGGCTCCAACGAAGGGTTAATGGCAGATAGGGATCTTAGAGGAGAAATACTTCATGGCGAACAAAAAGTAACAAGCGAGGGGCCGTAGCAACTGTTTTCTGCCCCTTTTATACTCTTATCTAGGCTACTGGGCGTAAGGCAGTGCCAAACCAATTAGTGGACTGATAGTAATTACACACCCTTAACCCCAGCATCACACACTCTAGATTCAACTACCTCTGAAAACCCACCAATGACCACATGAGGCTTTGGAGGACATCTGGACACAGCCATAAGAGATACTAGGAGAATAGAATGTGGTGAGTGACACAGATGGAAGGGTCTGGATTTTACCAAAATAACAGCTGACAGTCCTGAAGGGACTTCAACTTTGATATTCTTAAAAAAAAAATGTATTGACACCAGTATCAGAAATAAAAAAGCAAAAGGTTGACAGATTTGACAACTTAAAAAGTGTACTCTTTGTGCATTAAATAAAGCATATAAACCCATACAATTTGAAGGATATTTCTTAAGGAAATTAGAGAAATATATTGAAATGTATCAAAATAGCATTCAATGCGTTGATATTTATTTCATTTATAAATGAATTAGAAAAAGATAACTAACAGTAGAAAAATTAGCTGAGTGAAAAAGCATTTTAGAGAAGCCATGGGTGCCCATTCATAAAAATATACCATATATTAAAATACATTTAAAGAAGGACTTAAAAAAACAAGTTTTTCCTAGCCTTGGGCAGCCCCCCCAGCTGTAACTCTGTTCTGGTACAGATAAAATTGGCAACTGTCCTGTAGGCAAAGTTTAGGTCATCTTATCTCACAAGATTCATTAGGCTGTCTTCTTTTAAAGCTAAATTACAAGGCTATCACGAAGTGATTGTTTCTGTCTCTTTGCCTGGCTTCTGTAACCTCTCTTGCCCCCCGCCCTTCCAGTTTTATGCCAGTCTTCTTCAACCAAATGCATAAAACTGGAGCCTTTCCTTTGTTCTGGGCTCAGCTATTGGACATTAGTCCACCGAATCAGTATACACCTAAAACCTGGAATAAATCCTCCTGTATCACCTGTTGGTCTCTCCTGTCTCTTAAAATCCCAATTCAATAGGAGTAATAAACACAAAATTTAAAAAGTAACGAGATGATAGTTTTTCATGCATTACATTCACAAAGATTTAAGTAAAGCTATACTCACTGTTAGTAAAAGGGCAGGCAAAAGACTGATCTGAGTAACTTGTGAGAATGTAAACTGGTTCAGTTTTCTGGAGAAACTAGATAATAATCAAAAACTTGAAAACAAGCAAATCTTCAATCTAGCAACTCCACCCTAAGATTTATCCTGAGAAAATAATCCTTGATGTGTGTATTTAAAATTATGCTCAAGAGCCTCCACCAAACCACTTCTAATAGTGGCAGAAACTGTAGACTGTCTGTGGTGGTTGACTGGTTATAAACTATGCTGTTCAGTGCAACCACTACAAATAATAGTGTAGATATATAAACATGCAGTTAAAAATCTAAAATATATTCTTTTATGATGAAAAAGCTATTGTTAAATCCCTTATACACAGTGCCCTACTTTGAGCGTCACAAACTGCAAGTACCTATGTAGATATACTTAATGCCTAGATTTGTGATGTTTACCAAAATATTAGCGTTTCTACCTCTTGAAAACCAGAGGAAAAGTGATTTTTTTTTAATATTCTACTGTCAAATAAACCATGCAGACATTAACATAAAATAGCAACCTTTCTTATTGGATTCTCTCCATTCTGTGGGCAGCTCTGGCAGGTCTTCTGTGGGTGTTGCCTAGATTCACTTATGTGATTGCAGCCATCTGTTAGGTTATCTGGGC